CCGGATTTGGGGATTAGTCGGTAAGTGTTTTAAGAAGGTCACCCTACTTTGATCATGTTCGTCATACGACGAACGAAAGCTCTGCACATTTTTATCTGAATCAAAGGTGATTATCTCTGCAACAGCGTCCACAAGAGTGTTCCATTAAAGCCAATAGACAGCCGATCAAGAAAAATTCGCGTTTGTATTCTCGTGGGATAGACCTTCGGATCCCTTCACCAAACACTCACTTGAAATGGATGAGAGCCAATGGTGAGTGTGAATAGATCTCACTAAATCAACTCAAAGGGGCGCACAGAACTAGGTTTAAATAAGCAAGTAAAACAATATGATATTAAAGGGTATTACGAGGATATGGAATAGGTGAATACACTAGGACAGGAGGGATATCGCAACTGTTCAGCAGACAATTTGTAAAAGGATCAACTTCACTTGTCTCTTTGACTAGTAGTGTGGTGCTAAGACTCGCAAGGCTAATTTGCGATGCCGGTGAAACGTCTGGGAACATACCAAGTCCATGGTCACACTGGAAATTATTATGTATACTATGGACTTCGGACAAGATGCGTTCTTCTAAGTCTCTGACATTACGACTAAGTTGCGTAAACAAGCTCAAACCACTTCTATTAGAAGTTGTGGGTTCTGTCATACTTCCAAACTTCAGATTATTATAGGATGCGTTAGGAACATTGCTGAAATATTATCTTGCTTGATTTGCGTTTCTAAGATTTTATTGGACTCCGCTCGACGTACTAGTCGCATTATTAAGTCATAAGCCTTTGCCTGTATAATCGATTTTTATCATTGCAAAATCTTCAGATATTTTTGCGTTTTTGTCACACTCGGGTTCTTTGTTCACGTCTCTAGTGTCTTTATTTTCAGCGCTCATTGGGATGCGTCATCGCCCTTGCTAAGCTTTTGGGTACATCGCCAGGTCATGCGATAGGCCTGTTTCAGCATGTTCTGTATTTATGTAATGTGCGATTGGTCCAATCGGCGTTTGCTAGTATTTTAGCTAATTAAATCATTATACAGTGGTCTAGTCAAGTCTCGTAGGGTCCATTTTAGGCCACTGCTTGAAGTTGGGACGATCTGTATCTAGAGTTCGGTCCACTTTCTGAAAAAAACTTATTTTGCATATAGCGATAAACTGGTCTATATAATTGGGATCTGGTTTGCTATTTGCTTCAGGCCTTGCTTTTGTTTATTCTAATTTATCTCAGGGTCTATGTACCCCGAACGGTCTGTGCTATTTCCCGTCCTACCGGTTTACTCAAACGCTCGTCGTTACATCTGTCCTTGCTTCGAATGTCAGCTTCCAGGTGTTCGCTTGTTGACTGGCACTGAAGATAGTTCTCAAATGTTCCCATGCACTGTAAGCTTATTAGGTGATTTTTAGTATAATAGGCTTGAATCGTTAGTCCTGAGTTAAATATTTATTTCTTACATATTTAGTATCTAATCTTACAATTGA